ATAACATTATGTCTATTTTGCCATGATTGCATTTAAAGGATATGTTGATGCTCATGAACCACAAAAAAACACCATAATGGTTAGTGTAAAATTTTATCTTATTCAGCACTGAATTACGTTCAATTTTGTTTGCAGTGCACAACAATATTTATTGATTACATTTAACATCAAAAGTATCCATATATACAAGGGCATTTGCTTTACCTGCTTGATCTTTAAATATTTTCGATATGACAACAGGCACTTTATGCTCAGCACCACCCTGTAAGAGAAGTGTAACAAAATTAGCTCATCTTAGCTCATGTCTCGTGTAACACAAAGATAAACAAGAAAGGAGTTATGCATACCTTTATACTTAAGCCCAAGCCACCAACTGGTTGTCTACGAAGTTTAACAGTTCTGTGCTTTAAAAAATGGTAGAAAAAATAAATTCAGGTGAAAATACAATATTAGATGTATGCATATTAGATGATGCTACTTCATATTGAAATAAAAATTTAAAGGTTATACTTCACAATAGAATATTTTATTAGATCCATGACTCCCTTCTCTGACAGAAGAGGTCTTCTTCCAGTGGAAGTTGCATTGGAGGAAGACTTCTCACTTAGTGTAAGGGAGTCACTGGAGTATAGCAAATTAATTATCATTGGACGACCACAAATTCTTTTATATTTGTTCATGCACTGAAAGAAAAGAATCATGTCCTCTGTAGTAATATCAATTTCATTGGTACCTTAAATTATATAGTCTTCTGTTAATTCAATTTAGTCAAATACATACAGGGACTTCTTGATTTCCTATTGGAAATTTTATTCCATTCCCCTGTTTACATATGAGACCATACACATATATGGATTACCCATGTGTTCATTCAAGCCAGTAGATCACAGCCTCTAAGTGCAATATTGCAATTACTGTCCTTCTGGAAAAAAAATCTTGTTGAAAATAATGGGAACAGTGCACGGCACATTTGAGCTACAGAGATGTTTGACAGGGTTTTTTGTTTTTTGTTTTTTAAAATCTGCCCTTGCCAAATCTTTCAAAAACTGCAAAATATGGGACTTTACTTCAGGTATATGCCAACACACAGGCTTATTTTCTTCACTGTCATCATTTAATCTATACTCTTTATTCCATAGGGTCCTGTTGCCCCCCCGTTTTCAAAATGATCTTTTCCATATCTGGTTGTCTTTTCTCCAATGAACTCCCCCTACCATTAATCTATTTCTCATAGTTATTTCTTCAATACTTTTTTTTTTTGGATGGAAGTACATGAGATAAAATCTTTATGGACATTTGCTATAGCAATTTATCTCACATTTAACAGCACCTTGCATTTTGACATTTTATTCATGCTCACTTTTCTCGGTGCTTGACATAATAATAGAACACAAAGAGCTTATTTTATCTATTGACAGTAGACATATAGTAATACAGTTTTCCAACATGCTGAGCAAAGCTCTATCTTCTATGCTATCTCTCATCACCGGGAACAGGCATGGTTTATGTTTCAAGGTTATTTTTAAAAATTCTGTGCCAGGGAACATTATTATTGTTGTTTTCAACATTCTTTTTGTTGCTCATAACTTTAACTTTCACAAATGCTTTTGGACAGTTCTATATTACTATGCATGAAAAAATCAGCTTAAGGTAAGTAGTGATAAAAGTTCATTTTGTTGCTGCATTAGAGATGAGTAAAAACAGATTTGAAGAACAAATTGCATGTTCTTCTTTCAGCTCCATGTTCAAGAAGCCTATGGGTTTATGAGAAAATATGTATACAATTGTGATCTAGAACACAATTACAGGTCAGAGCCAGTCTTTCTCCCTAAATTGCCTCATTTTTGGTGGCTTCAGAGAAATGAATGGGTAATCACTGATTCCTTCAGAACCAAGAAATCTCTACAACCCTAATACATCTCTGTGTGTTCCTAACTGGCCAGTGTTGGCCCAGAGGAGTAAATTATGATCCAGACTTTCATGAACTTGCTCCTTCAGGGAGAGTGACTCCACAGTCCTACTCCAATTGAGCAACAGTTTCCTAGTCTCTTTTTTAAAATTACATTTCTGTTTATTGGCCCTTATCCATGTCACTACTTTCTCCAGGCACCTATTCAAGATTTCCAAACACACTTTACTCAGTTGTTAAGGAGAAATCAAGCTGGGTGTCATTCACATATTGGTGCAACTCATCCCAAATTCCTAGATGGCTTTCCCCAGCACTTTCATGTAGATGTAAAGCAGATGTATGTGTAAGGTGCACAAGGCACTCTCTGTTTCTATGACTCAATTTGTTTATTTACAGAACTTGTATCCCTAATTGCTGCCCTTACAAGGGCCACCAAGGTGGTTAACAATTTATAACATACATGTTAAAATTACATTTTAAAACCATTAAAATCAACCCACCAAACACAGATCATTAAAACAATAAAAAACAGAGTTAAAATACATACAAAACATAAAATCATGGGTTAGGAAGCAGGAATCACTGAGGGAATTCCAAACAACAGGGCTATTTTTGGACCGGAATGCACCGAAACGCAGTTCCGGCTGGCTTCCGAGCCTGCCCCGCCCCTTTCCAAATTGCCCTGCCCCTCCCCTCCCTTGCCAAAACGGCTCACGTGCAGTGAAAATTTTTTCCTTCTTGCCTCTGGCATCAGCTCTTTCCTTCTCCAGCCTCGCCTATTTCTTGCTTGGGTGGTGAGAAAACCCTCTTTTATCTCTTAACAGGAGTCAAACCGTAGCTTCCCTACAGTATGCATGTGGGGAGGGGTTTCAGAGTCCTCTACCCAAAAGCCGTTTGATCTCAGAGCTTTTTTTTTTTAGCTGTGTAGTCTGCTTTTGCACACTTCCTGCAATGGCAGTTGGCAGAGGGTGCTATTTGTCAGCTCTAAAGTTTTGCTCCTCCAGACTGCACAACTTCTGCTTCTTCTGGTGAGCTTTTGTGTTGTAAATGTGGAAATCCTTGGGGAACAAGGTGAGTTCCCTCCTCCTGTGGAAGGGGTGTGGGAGAAAAATACTCAAAAGAAAGTGTTTGATTTCTCCCTTTGCTAGAAAAAAATGCACTTAAAAAAAGCATAGAGAAAACCAAAGTGATACAAGGCCGTGGCTGGCTGTGTAATCCAGTGAAGAGGGGAGGAGTATTGAAGCCCAGGTGGTGGCAAAAAAAAAAGAAAAAGAAAATGAAGACTTAAGGATGGAGGGGATGGAGGGAAATCAAAGGAGGAGTGGGATGGGAAAGTTGCTTGTGATGCTGTGCCCCCAGCCCGATCTGGCTCGGTGTAGGTTTCTGCAGCCTCTTTCTCTTTCTCTCTCTCCGCTCTGGTGCACCAAGGGGGAGCACCAGCCACCAAAATATGATAAGAACAGCTGCTTCTGTGTTCTCTCTCTCTCTCTCTCTCTCTCTCTCTCCCTCTCTCTCTTACACACACACACACACACACACACACAAGTGTTTGTGTGTGTGTGTTAACAGATGCTATTCAATATAAACCCCCTCCCCAGGCTGTAACTGTACAGACTAAATGTCCCAGAATTCTTGACATCAAGAGGAGCCGTATAATCCAAGATGCTCCGTGGGTTATTGTCAGACTTCTTCTAATTGATGGTAGAATTCTTTAAGACTGGTTTGGGCATGTATTTGTAATATGTAGCAAGCTTAGTGGCCAGTTATCTGTATTATTGCTAAGGTGCCTATGTATAATTCTTGTGGCTTGTAAAATACCAAGAATGTGCAAGGCCATGATATTCAGCAATCTTGTGACTGACAGTTTCTAACCTCTCTGCATTTGACAGATCTGATTTTTGAAATTCTGGTGGTATGCTTTTTAAGACTGTCAGATACCCAGGCTTCACCAGTGAATACATAATCACTCATCTGTATAGTTTCTGTTAAGTTTTAAATATTTGCTGTGCAAGGTTTTGGGTGTACAAGGCCTGTTTATTGCCATTAATTCAAATGACTTTTCTTCTGAGTTTAGTGGTACAAGTGTTGAACCCGATGGGCATTTGTAGAGTGTATGTGATGCTGAGAGATACTGCCTCAGTGCATAAGATCTGGGCCATGGAAACTTGCAGTCAAACAATCTCTCCTGGGCTTCGAGCTAATAATCTTAGGCTATGTGGCTTGTCCTTGCTGAGTAGGCTAATGTAGGCTCACTCACAACAAAATGTGGGCTTGCTCACGAAGTAGAATTTTTGCTCACAAGACTCAACAACAGCTTAGGGGGAACATAAAAGCTACAGAGTAGACTGGCAGTCCAGAGTAGACTGGCATGTAGAACAAAGCTGCAATTCTTTGTTTTTCTAGGAGATCCAGTTTGTCTTGATATCAAATCTTTCTTTATTGCCAGCAAATAATGCCTTATTTCTGAAATATGCAAATAAATCCACAAAGATACAGCCAACTAATACATTAAAAACAATCAGATTTGTTCATCACCTCTACAGTCTATCACTGTGATTCCCCAGTATGGTGCCCACTGGTATCTTATCTAACACCCACTTGCATGCACCAGGAGGTGTTTCAGAATTGCCCAGGAAGTATCACTTTTGTCTCAGCATTAACACCAGTGCAGAATGATCTGCATCTTTTGTAGGAGGATACGTGGCATGGAGCCTCCCAAAATTTTGATTTGGCCTCCTTGTGGCTGGATGACCACACTTCTGGTAACATGGGGGTGTGGTCTAATATGCTAATGAGCTGCACAGTTAGGGGAGTTTCCTGAGTTTCTGCTGTTGGGTGTGGCCTTTTATGCTAATGAGTTCCTGCTGGGCTTTTTCTACAAAAAGAGCCCTGCCAAACAAAACAAAATGTCTTCACCTACTGGTTGAAAACAGCAACAGAAGCGGACAGACAAATCTGTGCATACATCCCGAGAGTTTAAAAGTTTTTATTCAATTAAGTGAAACAGGTTTTATTACATTTTGGCTTGTGCTGAGAGTTTCCTTTCTGCTGGTGAGCTGCAAATTTATCCTGCTGAAACAAACCCCGAAGCCAGTTGGTCCTGGCAGATGGACCAAGACTTGAGTGACACAGTCCCTATGACCCATTCCAGTTAACATCCTGGCTGCAGCATTCTGTACCAACTGAAGTTTCTGAACACTTTTCAAGAGCAGCCGCACACAGAGCACACTACAGCAATCTGATCTCGATGTAACCAGGGTGTGCACCAGAGTGGCCAGATCTTTTCTGCCCAGGAAAGGCCACAGATGGCTAACCAGCTGAAGCTGGTAAAAGTCACTCCTGGACACAGCTGCCACCTATTTATCCACAAATAAAAAGGTGGAAACTCTCCTAAAACGTTTTTAAGACAAGTAGTGATACTCCTAGGAATATATTAAATATATTGAATGATGATTCTTAAAGTGATACAATCCAAAATAGTCCACAAGCACAAGC